TTTCTCCCTCTTCCCTCCATGTGTGTTGATCTCCCTTGCTTGTTAAACTCTTCCTCTCTTGTTGTGCTTTGAGATCATTCCATCTCATGGGGCCGCTACCGTTGGTCATATTCAATTAGGGTTTGACTAGGATTGGGGATGTGTTCGATTTCTTGCTTTGCTGTAATTCCCCCCCGAAATTTTGCTTTGTAGGTTTTTATCATTGATGGTTCGCTATAGTAGAGCATAATTCGATTGTCCAGGGGGCTGGGTTAATCCTTCCTCCTTCTTGGGGAAGCAACCAATGCTCAACCCTTAATCTCAATCTTCATCTTTGTTGTACAGGGAAGCTGACTCTATGGGAGCAGTGGCGAAGCCTCTTCCAGCCATAATGGGGAGAGGCGTGTGTCTGCGTTGTATTCCATATGATAATATGAGCCTTTGGCAAAAAAAAGTGTAAAAATAAATCTGAAAATTGGATTGCTTGAAAATTTTATTGTGATCTTTCAAGGAAAAAAAAAATTAAAAAAAATCATTTCAACCGCAAAATAGATTGTGGCCACAATTTGACTCATCTTCCATTTTGGCCGTTTAACTTTTCTCTCTCTCTCTCTCTCTCTCTCTCTCTCTCTCTCTCTCTCTCTCTCTCTCTCTCTCTCTCTCTCTCTCTCAAGTTATCTGAAAATTAAGGCCTCTCTCTTGGGGAGGGGTAAGGTAGTGATTATACCCCTGACTCAATTTCGCAACCCTAAGGCTGCGGTATAGTGGGCTTCGGCATTTGTGTCAAGGTGTCGCATTTTCGGCGGCGGGCGACCAGGATGCAAAGTGGGTTCTTAGGGGGCAAACAAATTTGGGGGAACGGTCCTTGGCAAAACTGCAGACTACCTACAGCTAGCTCTGGTAGAACTGTGACTTTTGGAAAAAGGAAGGACCAGTCCTCGGATGGAAGCGAACCCCAAAAAGAAGTGGGGGGCGTTGGACGGGTCCACGGGTGAAAGAGGACCCCGAAAAGAAGTGAGGGCATGTGAACTGCAAAAGGGCCATCAGGCCCAGGCATTGAGGCCCGTCTTCTCAAAACAGTGAGGTCAGGCGCAACTAAACAGACTTTTTGCAAAAGACAACTTCGGTGATTTTCTGTGCTCGAAGGAACCCACGAAAAAATCTAAAATTTTGAGAATCCATAGATGAGGTCGTGTTCTTTCCAAAAAAAATATTAGAACATTTTCAAAAAATCATTTAGATCGCGAAATAATCGCCCCGCTGATTCGGCACATTTTCCATTTTTGCCTCTCAGCCACGTGTGGGCCAACTGAAAAAGTAGTCAAAATTCAGTGAGTTTTCACGATCAAAAGAATGCGTGAAAAAACCTTTAAAAAAACCTGAAAATTGCAATACTCGTAAATTTTGTTGTGATCTTTCCACGAAAAACGCTAAATGAAGTAAAAAAAATCATTCCAACTGTGAAATAAATCGCGGCCGCAATTTGACCCATATTTCAATTTTGTTATTCATCCTCTCTCTCTCTCTCTCTCTCTCTCTCTCTCTCTCTCTCTCTCTCTTAGTCTCATTGCTTTTACTACCTTAGGGTTGTGTTCCTCGCGCCCACGCGGTAGACAATGAAGCACTAAGTGCCTTGGAGTTTGTTCACAACCATAAGGCTGCGGTTTGGTGTGCTTCACTGTTCGCAGCCCTAAGGCTGCGGCATAGTGGGCTTTCGCGTCTGTGCCAAGGTGTCACATTTTTGGCGGCGGGCGACCAGGACGCAAAGTGGGTTCTTAAGAGGAGGGGGGGGGAATTGGGGGATCGGTCCTTGCCAAAATTGCGGACTACCTACAACTAGCTCTGGTAGAACTGGGACTTTTGAAAAAAGGAAGAACCGGTCCTCGGGTGGAAGTGGACCCCAAAAAGAAGTGGGGGGTGTTGGACCGGTCCTCGGGTAGACCCCTAAAAGAAGTGAGGGCATGTGAACTCCAAAAGGGCCCTCATGCCCAGGGGTTGAGGTCCGTCTTCTCAAAACAGGGAGGTCAAACACAACGAAACAGGCGTTTTGCAAAAGGTAACCTTGACAATTTTCTGTGCTCGAACGAACCCGCAGAAAAATCCAAAATTTGAAAATCCATAAGTGAGGTCGTGTTCTTTTCATGAATAAAATTATAACATTTTCAGAAAAGAATTTAGACTACGAAATAATCATCGCGCAGATTCGACATATTTTCCATTTTTGCCACTTAGCCATGTGTGGGCCAACTAAAAAAGTACTCAAAATTCAGTGAGTTTTTGCTCTCAGAAAAATGCGTGAAAAAACCTGAAAATTGGAGTACTCGTAGAATTTGTTGTGATCTTTCCAGGAAAAAATGCTCAATAAATTTTGAGAAATCATTCCAACTGTGAAATAGATCACGGCCGTAATTTGACCCATGTTTCAATTTTGCCATTCAACATCTCTCTCTCTCTCTCTCTCTCTCTCTCTCTCTCTCTCTCTCTCTCTCTCTCTCTCTCTCTCTCTCTCTCT